CATGATGATGGGAATGGTCTGCAACCTATCGAGTACATGAGCAAGAAGATCAAAACAAAGAAGCTGCAGGACTCTACCTATGAGAAAGAGCTTTATGCTCTTGTGTCAGCGCTCAAGCATTGGAAACATTTCCTCCTGGGCAGGGACTTCAAGATTTTTTCAGGTCACTGCACCCTTCAATGGATGAAGTCCCAGGGAGAATCGAATGGCAAGCTTGCTTGCTACATTCAGTTCATTGACATGTTTGACTTTGAACTGAAACACAAGAAGGGCTGCTACAATCGAGTAGCAGACGCCCTTTCTCGTAGGCCTGAAACTCTCTTTTTGATCTCCTTCACTCACTCTTTTGAAGAGAAGACTCGTCAGAACATTGCTCGTCTGCTGCCCCAGGATGCGATTTTTTGGGCCTATCGTGAGGAACCTTCAGGATGATCCTGCCTCTGAACCAGGATATACTCTGGTTTCAGATCTGCTGTATACATGCAATAGAGGTGAGGAACGCCTATGCATTCCCCAGGACCGCAAGCTGAGGACACTTCTGATGTCAGAGTGTCATGATGCTCGTGGCCACTTTGGAGCCCTCAAATCGTATGTAGCCCTGTCGCAGCGCTTATTCTGGAAGGAGATGAGGAGTGACATGCTGCACTATGTGGAAACCTGTGACTTATGCTAGAGGAGTAAGGTGGTACGCCGACCTCCCCTGAGCCTACTCAAACCACTACCCATTCCTGATGCTCTTGCACAGTCAGTGTCTATTGACTTTACTGATCTAGGTAGGACCACTCCCCGTGGCATGCGTCAGGTCATGGTATGTGTGGATCGGTTTTCAAAATATGCAGAGTTCATCCCCTTACCAGCTGAAGCACGTGTGCCTGCTGTATAGACGACTTTTGCTGACAGGTGGGTTACACATCATGGACCACCCACCTCCATTGTCAGTGATCGAGATCCTAGGTTTTGGAGTAATGAATGGCAATCCTACTGCAGGGATTACCTTCATTCTCGCCTGGATATGACATCTGGTCGTCATCCTGAAGCCAATGGTCAGGCTGAAGTGATGAGCCAGATTCTATTTCAATTGCTGCATCCTGTGATCAGTCCAGATCAGCAGGACTGGGATCTCCATCTGGGTCGTGCACAGCTTGTGTCTTATTGTACACTCTTCTACTGGCTTTACACCCTACCGGTTACACTGGGGTCGTGAGCCACGACAGCCTCTCGATGACATCATCGATAAGACTACCTCTACGCGGACACCTGGAACTGCAGAGTTCACCAGGCATTACCGTGTGGACATAGAGCGCGCCCGTGCCAACCTGCTCAAAGCCCAGAAGGCTATGGTTCAGCAGGCTAACCGACACAAATGTCCTTCTACCATTCGCACAGGTGACTGGGTCTGGGTACTCAATTCTGAGTACTCACGAGAGGAGGACATTTCGCCTAAGCCGCTGCCACGATATATGGGTCCATGGCAGGTCTTAGATACAGTGGGAGCTGATCGTTTTGGACCATCCTATACAGTGGATGTCCCTCTGCATCTACAAACCTACCCTGTCTTCCATGCATCTAAGCTGTTACCGATTACTTCAGCTGATGCATTCCCAGACAGGCCTCCTCGGTTTGGACCTCCAATCCCTGGCAAGGGATATGACGTGGAGTCCATTGACGATGAGTCAGGTACAGGACCAGATAAGGAATACCTTGTGAAGTTTTGTTATCAACCGCACACTGAAGATTGCTGGTTTACTTGCAAGGAGTTACTTAAAACAGCAAAGTCTGTTGTCCTCATATATGAGGCAGCACAGAATGGAGAACCCCTACGATGTTCTGCACGCCTACGCCCCTAGCTCGGAGGTCCTCGCTCTGGGGGAGGGTAGGTCTGCAATGACTTGCTGGTTTCTGGGTGCCTGTAGCCTCTAAGGGCCTAAGCTGATAGGTGGTCCTATAGCCTATAGCTGGGTTGGGAGAGGCCCTAGAGGCCGAAACAGAAACGGTACCGGTCGGTCCAGTCAATCCGGTCTAGGTCGTGTCTAGTGTAGGTTATAGATAGCTTTAGGACATCGGCTCAGGGCTTTTGGCAGTTGGTACCGAGTGCATCGCTGCTGTGCAACGTATGAACTGGAAGTGGTGACGGCTCAGCGTTGAGGGAGACAGACATAGACCTTCGGAGCGTCGGCCATAGCTGGGACCTGCACTGTACTCTGTCAGCACGCGGGGCTGTACAGAGGTCTGGGCTATTCGAGGTCTGCTGGAGGTGAGAGAAGTTGGTGCCCTGCTSGACCCTCCTCTGGAGTAGGGTTACAAGGTTGTGGCGCTGCAGCCATAGCTGCAGCTTCTTCCTCAGAGGTCATCTTGTCAGGAGCGGTGGCGCTGCTGCAGACTTCCACCCGGGAAGTCTTCCGACACTTCCTCATCATCGGATACTGTGGCGCTGGTCTTCTTCTTCATCCTCTGAGTGGCGCTTGGCCTCATAGACCTGTTTCAGGGTGGTGCTGCCCTCTGGAGGCAGTAATTGGGTGGCGCTTGATGTTTCAGGGACTCAGGGGTGGTACGAGTGGTTTCTCAGGGTTGGGGAGTGAGGCGCTGCTCATTTCTGAGCAGCGCACTATAGTTCTGAAGTTATTTTGACAATTTGAGACTCTGAGTGTAATAAACAGTGTTGATACTGGGTTCAGACTATCTTCGTTTCATTGTTTCTTGGATGTGATCTACTCAGCTTTCCTTTGTGACTGGTTGTGAGGATTGCATGGAGTGAATTGCACTTTCAGTGTACCCTGTCATATCGCATGGTCAAGTCTTCCGCTGTGTTTATCTCTCCCTGTGCGGTGTGATACTCCTATCCTCTCCCCTTCCTTCTTTGTATGTATGGGCATACCTGGGAGTCTATGTGAGTGAGTGTTGGTCTTCAGACAACAGACAACCAGAATCATAACACCTGCAATTAAAAAAAGAAAAAAAGAAAAAAAGAAGGGAAAACGGGTACTTTTTAACCTGGGCGAAATTTCGAGGCTGACGGCGGGGCCGGTCCGTCTAGTGGCTTCAGCCCCTCGACCAGGCATTTTCGAATCTTTAGCTAAGAAGTCATTTGTCAGTAAGTATGTGTATTGGATCTCTTAATCCCATAACCCTGTCCATGCCAGCACTGCTTGGTCAGCGTGGGACTTCTATAAAAGTACAATATAGACTGTGGGCGGAAGTCAGCAATGGGCCTAGCTCAGTTGCTACACCCACGAACTGTTTAAACATTAAATACAGATCCAAGTTCGAACCCAGATAGACATATAGATTCTGGGGGGAAGTCAGCAACGGGCCTAGCTCAGCTGGTACACCCACGAACTGTTGAAATACAGACTCAAGTTTGAACTTTGAAATTTGAACCCATATACTGTCAGATAAACAGAACAAGATCATTCTGAATTTCCTGGGACAAAAAGATTCTGGGGGGAAGTTATGAAAATATTGCAGACAAAATAAAAACTAATAATAATAAATTAATAAATTAATAATAATACAAAAAAAATTTGCAGACTACAGTTGTTATCTGTTCGCTGAACTTCCCCCCCCATGGTCAAGATAATATGTTTCTTAACTTTCTTTGCAAGGTGCCATTGCTATTATTAATTTAATATGGCTTTTAACTTTTTAACACCCCCTTTTTGTTGAGGTGCCTTGGTGCTCTTCTTATGGCTTTAACATCAGAGGTCCTGCACTGTGGCATATGTGTAGAAGGGGCAGGGTTACAGTCCAGTGCTGTGTCCTGTTCTAAGATCGTTCTTTGTCATGTAGTGAATGAAGAAAGTGTTCTTCGAAGTTTGAAGTGGCGCATAGTTCTACTCGAAGGACAGTAGTAAACATTGTGCTGTAGAAAAAGCATGAAGGAAGTTCTGTCGGCAAACAGTAGTGCACAATAGTACTACTCGAAGGACAGTAGTAAACATAGCAGTACATAGTAGTACATACTTGCACATAGCAGTACATAGTAGTGAATACTTGGACATAGTAGTGCATAGTAGTACATGCTCGGATGCAGTAGTGCATAGAAGTACATGGTAGTACATAGTCAAACATAGCACACAGCATCAGATAGCAGTACATACTTGCACAAAGCAGTACATAGTAGTACATAGTAGTACATACTTGCAGCATCAGATAGCAGCACATACTTGCACAAAGCAGTGCATAGTAGTACATACTTGCACATAGTAGTGCAGTAGTAGTACATACTCGGATGCAGTAGGACATAGTAGAAGTACATGGTAGTACATGGTGATACATAATAGTAAGTGTCGCGCATGGTAGTAGTACATACATTCTCGGATGCAGTAGTGTATAGAAGTACATGGTAGTACATATTGAAACATAGCACACAGCATTAGATAGCAGTGCATACTTGCACAAAGCAGTACATAGTAGTACATACTTGCACATAGTAGTGCAGAGTAGTACATACTCGGAATCAGTAGGACATAGTAGACGTACATGGTAGTACATAGTGATACATAGTAGTAAGTGTAGCACATGGTAGTAGTACATACTAGCACAAGTACTGCATAGTAGTACTGCCTGAACATAGTAATAGATACTAGCCCGTACTAACACATACTAGTATTTGGAAGGGTGAGTAAAGTACGGCAATGCAGTACTCGAAGGACATAATTGAAGTCTTGCAAATATTACAGAAGTACAGAGTAGAGTACTACCGTCTTCACCTGAATACAACGCCCTGTCGTTATCGCTGTACCTAGACTGAAAGTTGCACCAAATACGGCTATAATGACCGGGCGTTCTATTGGGGTGAAGATGGTAGTTGAAGGGCATATAGAATGGATAGTCGAGAAATCATTGGGCATTCGTGAAAGCTAAGATTTTGTTACCCCCTGCCCCCCCCCCTCCTCCCGGCCCCCCTTGGCATTGATGATGGATTTCTCATGGTTTACTTTTTGTCCTGTTGTGCACCGTTGTGCTTCGCCTGCCTCTCTTGGTTTCCTCCTGAACTGCAGACTGGATTCTGCGTTTGAAGAACTGCTGCCTCGTCTGCTTGTTCCGTCATCTTTCATTCCTCTGTTTCATGCTATCCTCGATTTACCAGGTGTGTTGATGTCATCATGTCAGGTTTGCATCACTACGTAGTCGACCCTGACATCAAACATGGTGTGTGACAATTTAATGTTTTTACCAGTCTCTCATTTGGAGGAAAAAAGGGTTTTCATAGTTGTCCTATCCTTTTTATGCGGAACACAAGTGGAATTTGAAATTACAAGTTTGTCCGTCTTTCATATGGAGCACAAGATCTCATGAGAATCTCAGCACCTTTCACATTGATCCCAGGCTGTCAGGTGTCTTCTCATGCGCTTTCCATTTTGCTCTGCTGCTCACTTCTTCCACCATGGGAACTCAATCGGAAGCTTCGACTTCCCTGTTTATTTCCTCCTCCCCCCCCCCC